AGAATAACTTGTTTTTAGAAGCTAATTTATTATTTATTGATGATTGTTGTAGACACAAGTAGAATGGAAATTCATCCCACAAAGGAATAGATTTAACGAAGAACGAAGAGTGAACGATTTCGGAGAAATGAGATGGGCAGAGTAGACGATTAGAGGAGCAACAAAGAATTTTGGTGTGAAAGGTACATAAGTACTGTTAAGATAAGAAAGAGTGTTTGGAGATTTCAGCATAGAGGATAACGTAGTTAAAGCACGCATACTTCTTCGCTTCCGGATGGACGTCCATTTTGAATTTTAACGATATAGGGACACATGATCAAATTTTCTAAGAATAAAAACGGATAGAATCTTCGGTCTCTAGAATCCAGTTAAGCCAGTGAAAAACTGACCATCATCATACATTGCCCAAAATCTTTAGATCTACCAGAAAATGAGATAGAAACAATTTCTGAAGTACGCAAAGATATAAAAACAGCGCAGTAAACCACGGAATTCTGATCGACTTCGATATGCTGTTGAGAGAATAAAAGCTGCTGGTGTGGAACTGAAAATTACCTGTTTTTCTAATGCCCAACTTTGCCTTGTTGTTTTAAGGGTTAGCAACGTCTCTGGGCTTTATATTTTGGCACCCGAATAAAAAAAAAACACCAATAAAGTTTATAAATTTCATCTTAAATATTATTGTTCATCATATATACCGTTGGCACCGTCGGCAGACTGTAGAATTTTGGTACAAAAAGAATTCTACCTTTACAGGTTCATAAAGTTATTACCTACTCAATCCACAACATACAATTTAAGCTTACAAAATCTTTGGTATGAGACAACACGAACGAAGATGCGGGCACCAGCTAGTGGCAAATAATATAACGGTGTAATGAATCTTTACAAGTATTTTGGCCAAACATAACCTCAGTAAAAAGTTATACGACCAAATGAAACAATAACAAAAACTTACTATAACCCAACCTTTCATCTTATTTGAGGTTGTTCAAGATATTTATTGAGCAACACATTATTTGAATAGTTGCCTCTATAGAATAAAATTTATGAATTTCGTTGGGATCGCCAGTTTAAAGCTGCTTTCTTTATGCAGATGATACCTACCATAGTGCTTACATAGAATCCATTCAATCTGCAAATGAAGCGATAGTCATGGAGCAAGATTATGAGTGTTGAAAGGCTAAAAATTCAACGTGAATAACACATAAGATATTAAACCAATGTACTACTTTGAGAATATAACTATTCACACCGTCATTAACTGGTCGTCCTCTTTTAATTTTAAATAAGAGTGAAGTTATACGTCACGGAATTGTCACTGTAAACAAATCTATTTCGTGATTATCCTTTACCAAATGAGGCAATTTGTCTATATAAAAATAAAAAAGAAGCATTGAGCACTGTGAAACACCCATGATAGGTGTTGATCTATCGATTCAGGGGATTTCTTGTCACCGATATGAACCTCCTACAAAGCCACTGAACTAAGAGACAGCAAAATCTAACTAGTTATCTCTAAATTCATAATATGAAGATTCGTTATATATTTCATGAACACCATAATTGACAGCTTTAAGTACGTCACAGAAAACACCTAAAACGTTGTGTGAATTCTCCCAGGCATCAACAATTTGTTCTAAGATTCCGATATTCATACCGATACTGAACTTATGCATCCATGTGAAGTGAACCGTAGCTGGTTTTACCATATAGGTCAGTTACACTAACCTGCCCTTTTCAGAATGGGATTGCCCAGACCCAGAGTCCTGATTAGATATTCTAGAGAATCACCCGTTTCTTTGAATGTCGAGCTTGTCCTCAACTCTGTGCTTAGAGTTGAACTGAATTGTAAAATTTACCGTAAAACTTTTACCACACTTACGTCACAATAATCAATGCTGATTACCGAATTATTCACATCTAATTTTTTAATGCCAACCTCAGTCAGGAATAAAATTTAGTAACATTTTGGAGCGATTTTCAATTATTACGGTTACCATACGCCACAGGTTTGCGTCCGTGATGCGGAAAGTAGATTTAAAAAAAAATATAGTTCTCTAATTATAAAACCTTCTGTTGATAACAATTAATGGCTAAAACGACTTCACAAATTTTATTTCAATAAATTTATCAGTATCTTAAGAAAGTCAAAGAAATCGACAACAAAAATATTCCAAAAAATTAAAAACGTTTTCTTTTCTTAAAATTAAATCATAATTCCACTTTTTTACACCCATAAAAACACCGTCTGCCATATTCATGACGATATTCTGTTGTGTACAGATTGAAATGTCAATAATAATAATTAAATAACAGTAATGTACAAACAGATTAAATTATTTTTAACAATCAACCAATTTAACAAATGTAATGTAGGGAACTATGTGTTTATTAATGTTTCAATTTTATGTTCATATAAATTTGCATAACTGTTTGATCCTATATATAAAAAAAATAAATATGATGTTATTCAAACGAAAACGGTGTTATCTAACGATCTCGACAAAATAATAATATTAAATAAGGTAAGAACAGTATTATCTCGGAATCTGCTTTTTCTGTTAAATCGGCTGCTGTTTATTTATATTTTTACAACTACTGACAGATGTCAGATTCAGAAAATATTCAAACGAAGTGTCGTCACGTAATGGTGGGTTATGTTTTTAAGTCACATGATGAATAAACAAAAAGACTGGACCTTTAATTTTGATATGTTAAGATAATTATGCGATTTTATTACTCAAAATCAGCCTAGATATTATTATTTTTTATTATTTTTTATATTTATTTCAAAGCAAATTTCAATGATTCTGCAAATTGTATTATTTTGGTTGCAATACAACTATAGTCTATTGAGTATCGTTTAAAATTGTGTACTAGTCCGGAACACTGTACATTTACCTTACAGAAAAATCTTCGTTTTTCATTATCAATAATTGTATGACTACGCCTGTTGCGTACTGCAATAGTTTGCAAACCAATAAAGGATATCTAGAGGTATTTTTGTATCAATTACCGCGAAATTTATCCAGTCGTTTTTCCATGAAAATGTCAAAAATAATATCTATACAATTATTAAATATAATAATTTATATTTTAGTATAAATACATAAATAATTTTTAATACCTATTATATTTCTCATAATAAAAATATTGGGTAAAAAAAAAAAACATAAAACTCGGTTTTGATCTGCGGCAGAATGAGTACCTAGTGACCAGCACATAGGACATTGCGCCACACCAAATATTAGTAAAGTCTGTAAAAAACCTGTACATTATTATTTAGTACATTGTTACAATAATTTTCAAATTCATTCAATAGTAACTAATTCCCTTTTTTATATCTGTTTTATAAAGTAATACCTATTTATTGAACTATTTTATTTACACAATATGATTGATAAGGAATTATTTTTTACTAGAGTAACGGTCTACGGGATGGTTTTTGCATGAAAATGTCAAACTTTTGCAAACACATACTTTTATGGAAATATTTACCTATTGTCAAATTTTATGTTATATATTTTTACAGCAATTAAATTTATCAACTAGACTAGATAATTAAATAATACTTAATTACTGTATAAAATAATATTCAAAATTATTTTAACGAATTATTAATGATTAACATATACCTATAAAAAAATGTGAGAGGAAAATAAATTAGGGAAAAGAAGATAAAAGTAAAACAAAAATGCTTCTTTGATGGGATTGGAACACGAACATGTATTTTATTGGAACTATTTCATCAATATCGGGGCTTTTGTATGAAAATGTCAGTCTGACTTTCGCCTACGTCATACTAAAGAAATATTTATTTTCACATTTTATACTGTTTAATTATAATAAAAAAAAAGTTGCTTTTTAAAATTATGGCAGAAAAAAAATGAAAATTAGAATAAAATAATAAAAAAACGACTTGAAAAAATTCGAGCTCTAGTGGGATTCGAACTTACAACTTCGAGACACTCGGGTCCCTACCCTAGTACATTACACCAAAAATATCGTTAAAATGAGAGCGAAATTAAAATACTTATTTTAAATGTTCTTTTTTTTTTCAATTTTAGCGATCTCGGTACGTCAGAACGCTGCACAAAGCAACATAGGTCCATCTAGCAACACGCCTCAGCGTGAACTAAGTTAGTGTGCGTTATTCTATAGCCTTCCCTGTCAATTGCAGTAGGAGTGACAGAAATGTCAATACTTTAAAGTTGCTTGAAAAAAATGACCATATGTGCCATATCACAAAATAAATTATATTAATTATTATAAACACATTATCAAAAATTGGGAATAACCAACTTTTATATCAACCTTTGATACATATTTGTACTCAATATCATTACTCTAATGTATCACATAATTGAGAAACGTGAATTTCGCAATATTTTTAGATGCTACTTTGGAATTATTTTCTATCGAGTGAAGTTAATACAATCATGTTTCGGTTTCAACCACAAGATCAGAAATACGATCAAGTATAACCACAAATTTTTGGATTGCCATAGGTTTCCCGTGGATTAGTACAATCCTAGATCAATTTTATCGATTTGGCACTATTCAGCGTCTTAATGCTTAGAAATACATTCACTACGGAGACAAAACTACCATAATTCTGAGGAACGTGTACCATACAATCCAGATAGTACTTTTTGTTAAAAAGAGACAGAAGTTTAATCCGTGTTAGAGCCACGTTCGGCATGAATGGGCCGGCTCCACCGGAGTGATACAACGGCCTCACAGAAAACCGACGTGAAGCAACGCTTGCGTTGTGTTTCGTCGTGTGAGTGAGGGTACCGGAGGCCCAAGCTCTCCCTATTCCCTTCCCTCCACCCCTCAACCCTTCCCTCCCTATGATCATATTCGTCCCTCAAAGGCCGGCAACGCGCTTGTAGCCCCGCTGGTGTTGCAGATGTCCATGGGCGACGGTAATCACATACCATCAGGTGATCCGTCTGCTCGTCTGCCCCCTATCCCATAAAAAAAATATTGCTCACCTCTTCGGGTACAACATCTTTCAGTTTGACGTCTTGCAAGCGGCTGACGGATGCGGTGCGGTGGTAGTCTACTAGTTCGTTGAGCGAATTGAATTTCACCACCCACAAGAAAAACTTGCTGGATGCGTCCCTTAAGACCTTGAAGTGCTGCACTCCATCTGGACATCTGTGGGTGAATATTAACATGTTTATGTTACAAGGGGGTGTAAAGTCTAAAAACAGTTCCTGTCTATCTCAACTGGCTCAACAATGAGATAAATCTCTATTATTATATATTTATCTGTCTCTACAGAGAATGACGAATTGCGCGGCAATGCATTTTCGAAAATGCATGCAATCAACAGTGTCTGGCACCGTCAATATCGAAGCTTTACTATGCGCAGTGTCGAGACGCGTCACTAGTTTTGCCATGTAAATCGAAGTGAAGTTAGTTGCATAAAAGTAGTTTCATTAAAAACATGCGCATCACTGTGAAACTAATGCATGTATTGCGAAAGTGGACATTTTAAACGTGCTTATGCTAGCAATATTAATGCAATGAAACTAGTTTCATATAACTACTTTCTTAACGTAAATTCGGATTTATTGTAAAACTGCTGCATGTTAACAACCTCGGCTACAAAGTCTATAAAAAAAAAAGGTATTTGCATGATGCTTTAGGTATGTTAATGTATGATTCAATAAAAAACGAATAAATAGTGAATTTTAGGGATTTGTTTTTAATCAAAGTAATTTTATAAAAATCCACATTTTGGCTTAGGTAGAGTCCTTAAAAGTATGATGTGGTTTTTCTAATTTTTAATTACATCTGACGTTATTTCTTTATATAATACTAGTTGAAATAATGATTTTGAGTGTACGAGCCGGAGGTATAGCAAATTAATTTTAACAATAATTAATTATTTGTACAGATGTTCGAGTTAAATAACGTTTCAGAGATACATTATCAGGGGGCCAATTCTACTAAATAAATTTTGTTTAAATCGAATCGAAAACGGATCAAAACTGAACGAAACTACAGTTTTGAATGGATTTTCTATTCTACAAAGTGACATACATACGATAGAATAGGAACACCATTAAAAACTGTAGTTTCGTTCAGTTTTGATCCGTTTTCGGTTCGATTTAAACAAAAAATATTTAGTAGAATTGCCCCCCTGTATGCTATCAGTAACGCTACCAGTTCTATTGATGGCAACTGTTGATCGAATTTAAATATTTGTCAGAACGTATGTCGAGCTCGCTGGCGCAGAGGTAGGAGAGATCGTAGTCGTTAAGCAACTTTCGCAAGAGTCGGTCACGGGATGGGTGACCAAAAAATTATTATCACGAGCTACTCCGTGCTTCGGAAGGCACGATAAGCCGTTGGTCCCGGCTGCATTTGTAGTCGTTAATACCCTCCAATCCGCATTGGGCCAGCGTTGAGGGTCATGGCCCATTCTTCTTAACCATCCATAAGAAAGGCCTGAGCCCCTGCAGTGGGAACGTAAAAGGGCTGGTGATGATATATGATAATTTCCACCACTTGATCGTGATGTTTCTAATAAGTATGTAGAGATTACTCTAAGTTGATTCTCGGGCATTGGTTGATTTTTTTCAAATGCAATTTTTTTAGTTACTTATAATGGGCTCACTCTTGACCCCAATCATGTTATAGACATGTGTTTGTATGTTATATATCAGCTTAATATTTGTTGTTTCCAATTTCAGGTGAGACGTCAATGCGGGGTGTGGCGGCGCGTGTGTTAGTCAAATTACCCGACGAAATTGACGCTAAGTAATGAGATTCTGTTCCACGCACTTGACTGAATTATAAATTTATCAAAGAGAAATAGACTTTGAATAAGTTTGCCTAATTGGAGGATATATTTTGTAATTACCGTGTGATACGACCTATGTAATATTTAACAGCCAGCTTATTTACATAGAAATATTGCCAGTCTTAATAAATGTATTACTTAAATTCAAGTTTTAGGCGAAGTATAGTAGTAAGTATAATAATAGAATATTTTAATAACATTTTTAAAACTATCATATCTACAAATTAGATTACAGTATCAGACACTTTCAGAACTACTTATTGACAATTATTTAAAAACTATATTTCTTTAAACTTTTTGTTAATTTCGGTTTTTACAATAGCATATTAGGATAATATACATCAAATAATTGTCTTAATATATTTTAAAGTCAGTTTTAAAGTGATTAAGATTCAAATTTTAAATTTTATCAGTTTTGTGTAAATTGATGGTCGTTCACTGTACATGTGAATGGAGTCTTAAATAAATTGACCAACAATACTACCTAGATGTTGGCAACTGAGTTTAGTAACGTTTTCCCAGGCAAAATAAACATCGAGGCATTGTCCGCCAGCGTGGGACTTACCAATGAATCTCTAACGTGAATGTTAAGATATTTATCCTTTTTAAAAAAGCAGTTTTTTTTTTCTAGGATCTTATGATTTGGAAATGGCAATGTTAGTCCATTTGACTTTTAAAAAAAATTTTTAAAACAAAATTATAAATAAAATAAATTTCTAAAATAGTTGATATTGGCAATTCTGTTAAAAAATGCCCCTTCTTATCAAAGTCATTAATTTTCACTACAAAGTATACTTTATTATGAAGATTAAGATATTTTTGGAAATATAAGAAGTAATTCAGATCGTTGTACACACGGCTCCAAGTCCGGTTACCATTTATTATTTAAAACGCTATTCTCAAAACATTAAGGTTTAAAATCTAATGAAGAAATTTGAGAGATTTTTATAGTCTGACGTGCTGTTCGGTCTGACTACAAAATTCGATATTTTATATCAAAATATCCGCTAATTGATATTCATCAGATATATATTATATTATAAAGCTGCTAGTGGTTTTTCTTATTCAATATTTGTTTATCTATAAACAAATAATTCAAAAGCAGTATACGTGCGAGGATTCCCAGTAACATATAGGGGAAAACCCAAAATTACTAGTAAGTGAGATTGCTAAGTCTGGGCCAATGTCGGCAGCGTCACATCGGGTTGGTTAATTCTCAAGCCGAGACTGAATGATCAAACTAACAATAAATATTACAAATATCAACGTATACATTAATGGATATATAAGCGTTGATATTTATTAGCGAATCCTGCTGGGGAGCGACTAATTATATTACCCATCACGAGCTTATTAAATGAGGGCATTTTATAGACTGTAAGGGCACAGGCCTTCCCTTTGAATGGAATTGAATAGGGAAAAAAAGAAGAAGAAATTGACAATACAAATATGCTAAAAATTAGGAATTGTTAGACATTGTTCCGAAAAAATTAACAAGAAATACGAAAGCGATTGCTCAGATCAAAAGTGGTATGAATTTTATTTTGCCCAAATATCACTTAAAATACGGAGGGTATCAATAAAGCTCCTAGTCACAGAAGGGTCAATTAGATTCTAGTTTAGAGAATTAAAGGGAGTATGTGGACAGAATACACCAAAAATATATTGTGTTCCTATAAAAAAATTTCGATGAAAATAAAAAAAAAACACCATTCATACAAAATGCTTAAAAAATCCACTTGGTCCCTGGCACAGTATGGCATTGTGAATGCAAAATTAATAAAAAAAATATAATTAACACACCATTAAGCATAAAAAAGGAATGTAGGAGTAATATAATTTAATGGAATATTTAACCTACTTTGTTTTTTCATTTAGTTCTATTAATGATAAGAAGAATAAATAGGTTGGTTTATTTACTTTCGAGTGATTTATTACGTATATCTAAAGATGCGCCGAATAGTGGTTTCACCGAATAATATTCGGCCGAATTATTCGGTGAAACCACTATTTTATTGTTTCTGATAGCTTGATGTTCCTGCATCATAATTTACCATTAATAAATATCAGAATAAGTATATTTTTTTTTCTTATCTTTTATTTAATTTCTGATCTCTATTATATTTTTATTAGTGATGATAATTGAGAAAAAAATATTTATAATTTGAAGTTTCTTTATTTTATTTATTGAATACAGGATTTCTTTGAGCTATATCTAATATAAAATATACCTGATATAAGAGGTTTTGTCTTTTAGTTCTATATCGTGTTGTGTAACCAAGAAAATATAAATACTAATACGAACCGAATAAAAATAGTGAAAAAGATGCCGAATACCAAATAAATATTCCGCGCATCTATTTGATTTTTAAACACCCATATTCTGAAAAGATTTTTTTAAATTTAATCTTTCTTAACATAATATTAAAAATATTAACCATGTATTCCATTTCTAAGCTGATGGCCGCAATTCAGATTTTGACGACGAAAAGAGGGCAAAGGGCTAATTTATTTAATAAAAATAAAAACAAAATGTTTCGAATAAAATTGAATGTTAATTTAAAAATATGACTATATAAGAAATATATTACATATTTTTTTCATTAGAATGCAATTGGAAATCTTTTAACTTGCCAACCGCACTAAATGGACGTCATTACACCTGTTCGCCAATTGACCTTATGTGGACACTGATAAGCAAAAATGCGTTTACCCATAAAAACTGTTTTTAGCAAAAAAGCTTAAAGTCACACGATCGAAATTATTTTCATCATATAACAAATCTTTAATATATAGACGCCGTTTTCTCAAAACGTTGTCTGTGTGGGTTGAAACATTATTCTTAATAGCTTATCAGCGTCAATGTATAAATTGGGTGAAATATGTAAATTATTGATCAAGAAGTCGGAAAAAAATCGTGTTGTTCGGGAATTATAATTAATTATAGTAACTTTGTATTCACTAGAGATGTACCGAGTATTACATATGCTAAGCTGAATACTAGGTATTCAGCCGAGTTACTAAGGTCAGCTATGCTATTCTGCTAAAAGAAGCCACGAACTCATTGCCAAAAGAACACACAGTACATCGTTAGTCTAAAGTTATTTCGTAAATAGGGTGATAATCTCTATTATTCTACCCTCAAATCAGTACCTTAAAGGCCCATTGTAGATTACATTATATTCATCAGTGTAATGAACATCTCATCAGGAAATTAGAAATCAAACTCAATATGAAGAGTGAGGCACGATTTGAGTTCTCTAACAAAAATTATAAATAAATAATCCAATAGACCAAACAGGTTTCAGTACAATCAACATGTCGCTGATTCATACCGCTGCTGGTCGGGAACTGGTTTAACCTTGCGAGAAAACTAAATAAATAGAATATTGATGGCTGCTTTGAGTGTTCGCAATTATCTACCAATTGGATCAATATTTTTATACAAAACGGTAAAATTTGAAACTTAAAAGTAAATAAAATTACATAATTAATAACTTTTTAAATTAAGAATACTTTGCTATACGCACTATAATATAAGAATATTTAGTAAATAAAAAAGGGGTTTCATTATAAATCTCACAAGAAATTAATATAACGCGTAAACGAAATTCAAAATTTACCAATTGGAATTGAATCCTAACATAAAGCGTTACAAAAGTTCTTATTAAGCCTGAAATTTTATTGACTATAAACAAAACTGAAATTATAGGTGCTAATGCTAATGTAATATTGTATTACAAAAACGACCGACAGCAGACACTAACAGCTGACCACAATCTTGAAAATATAAGCTATATATATATTAACTGCATGCATCAAATGTTTTTTTTTTTATTACAAATTTTTTCATTGACCTCAGCAGTTTGAGTGCTTCCTATATCCGCCATTATACATACATTATAATGACTAATACATCACCGAGACATTCCCAACTAAATAAAACGAACTCTCAGTAAGTGAGTCAGAGCACCGCGAGCCGAGGCGAGAACCTATTTTCTTTTTTATTATCAACTAATTTAAACGCAAGTAGACTTGTTTGTCGTCATTCCTTTACACACGTCATACCGTAAATAAATCAACTATTGCACTTAATAAAATCTATTTTTCGTGTACTGAAACCGTCGGGGTCATTTATGAGGCATGATGTCCAAATAAGTAGGGTAAATGAACCAATAACTATAAAGCTTTCATCGATCTACAGTTCAAATTCCAGCGGTATCTACACTAATATTATAAAGAGGTACCAATGATTCAAATTCTTTCACTCACATAAGTGAAACTCCGTCATACGCGACGTAGACTATAATTTACGCATGTAAAGTCGCGGTAAAACAGCCAATCAGCTGATTGTACAAACGCCTATTAAAATAGTAATTAGTTTAACGTGGAATTACCCATATAAATTCGACATTCAATAGAGCTTAAAGGCGTTATTAAGCCTAAATGGAAGTTTGTGCAACTGACCGAAGAAGTTATATATCAATACGATAACTGTATGTTTTAGAGGGGTTGAAAATATTTAAGTATTTCGAGTAAAAAAATAATATGTCCATTTTTTAATATACCCCTAAATAAGCTGCAATGTGTCCTATGTCCGTTTGCACTAAACTTAGGAGTCCCACAAATCTGTCGCCTAAATATTTAGGAATCGCCTAAGATAAAAATGCATTTTACCATTGACTAGGAACCATTGACATAGAAATTAAACGAGATCTAAAGTTACGATATTCGTTATGTGGCGCCTTGCGCTAGGTGTTTGCGTATATGACAAGTCATAAATATATCAAGGGATAAAAGAAAAAAAAAACATTTGTTTGAAACTAATCTTAGCTTAGGCGATTTGTAATATTAGACGTTTCCTAGTTAAGCTATGTCTTCTTCTTAGTGAAAATGGGTATTAGTCATATAATTACGGCAGTCTTCTGGTCACCGGCTAACATTAATATTACATATGGAAAATCTACGTTTACAGATAGTACAGTATTCTATTTTTCTTATTTGATACTGAAAGTTTCGATAGTGGGTTAAAATAACTACATTGTTAACTTAGATTTGGATATTTTTCCAATTTTGGGAAATCTATTTTAAATCTTAGTTGTTTTTATAAAAAGATGTTTTTAAATTATTGAGGATAGAATTCAAACATACGACACAAACTATATTTTTTTTCTATTTGAATATCTGCTACTCGTACAAATGAACATGAAACTTGAAGTAGGTACTATTCCATTTCCAAAAACAATTTTTCGTCTATTTTCGAAATACCAATACTAAAAGAAACGCATTTTTCAATAATTTATGATGCAATGGAGGTAGGACGTGACGCTGCCTCTGATACACAGATGATTTCCATATGGAAATGATTGCAACAAAATTATAAGAATGATTCGAAATTTTTCTGCATTGTCTGTTATTTTTTGCACACCATATAATAAGTAGTGGGAATAATAAATCTTCAACAATAAGACAAAAATCATTTTGATTTTAAAAAGGTATACCTAAAGTAAATTTGGTAATACTAAATTGCAAAATTAGTGTATATGGTGTTGTTTAAGCAACCATTTACTGTTCATTGTCATTGTTTCCTGTTTAATTGTCATCATCATAGGATGTACCACAAGAAAAACACCATTGTATTGTTTGCTAATAGGACCCAAAATGTGAAGTTGGTACTTTGAGGAGAGACAGAAAGTTATATGCAATATTTTCATATTCTTCAACACATACAAATAATTATGATACTAAGATTTAAATAAATTGTTCAGAATTAAATGTCTCTGCTTAACTGGCAAAAGATTTGGTATAAAGTTATATAATAAATCATATAAGACTGCCAGATATGCCAAACAAGACTGTGTATTAACAGGATTATGATAATAAAGATCAATCAAAACTATTTTTGGATATTTCAGCTCTTTCTGTCAGGGTTCATAATTATCCAGATAATTATACCTTGATAATAATCTTGGTAATTTTAAAACACTACACACTATTGGGGAATCAACTTTTAACAACTATAAAATATGGTTTTCGGATAAAGAAAATTGTCATTCACCTATAAAAACAAAAATAAAAAATTTAAACCCCTTTCATTCGAAATATTTTATTTATTTATATTTTCATTTAAATTTTTGTTCAATGTGATTTCACGGAAAAAATGTTTGTTTATATCTTTTGTATAATTTAAAACAATAAAAGTATATACTTATTATTTTGAATGCCTTCCAGTATTTTAAGAATTGTTGTTAGGAACTACAGATGATTATCATGTATTTTTCAGATAATTATCCATAAAATAATTAACTTGATAATTACGAACTCTGTTAACTGAAGTTGACAACCATTAAGCCCAACAGAAAGTAAGAAGGCAACCAACATTTTTATAATTATTTTAGGTGTGTTCTCTTGATTAATGCCCAATTTTCATGAACAAGAGATAAGAGAAATTAATGAAAAAAAAATTACATACAATAAAAAATATTTTACAGTGAAGACAGGGGTCTGAATTGTTTAGCTGAATTAGGGAATTTAACAATTCAGTTCTAAATTAACCCATATATTTTTTATCATATAAATCCTGAGATGAGGGGATATTTGTTTCTTAATTATATTTTAGTAAGACTATAAGACAAATCTATATTTGTATCTATTCTGTAGATACTATTTGCATTGAATAGACCCTGAAACTACTGGATTTATTTTCAAAATTCTTTCATGTAAAGATAGTTAGATAATGCAGGTGAGAGGCTACAATTTTGGTGAGCAAAGAACTTGTAACCTTATAATACCAATAATATTATTCTCATCTCAGTTTGAGTCTCCATATAAATTTTAACTTGTCAAATTTCATACTCATACACCTGCTCAGTTTTTATAAAAGGGGTACAAGAATTATGATATACACATTTATTAGTAATATAAGGTAAAATAAATAAATATCAAATGCAGAGTGCAAATTTTTACATTTATTTTGTAATCTTTATTGAGATAATAAGCACACATTGTAATGCAAAAAGCTTTTTGATACAGGTATATTTATTATTCCTGTTATAGAATTCAGGATATAAACTGATAACCAGCAGGTTATCAATCCATCGCTGTGTCAAGTACCAGTAAACAAATCAATTGATATTTTATTGTTATGCAGACTTTGGTGTTGGTATGAGATTAAGAGTTATGTGACGTTAAATTGTTTATAATTAACATTACTATCAACTAACATAGTATAAGGTAGGATATCACAAAATAAAATAGGAGATGGAATCTACACAGACATCAATGAGAGAATAAGAGACAGAGGATAATGTATTATGCATCAAAAACTATTTTTGACAAATTACTCTCAAATTAGTATAAGCAAGTTAAGTGCTTTGTACAGCCCTTAGCTGCAAAGTGACTGGCTTAATGTATAATTACAAGAAATTAAAAAAGGTGAGTTTTAAGGGTAAACTTGAAATTTATTTGTAATGGGAATATTTTAAGAATTCATATTTTGGCTGTCTTTTGGTAGAGGAAATCTTTATTTGATAACAAAAATGCAAAAGAGATAAATATATCATTTTTTAAAAACTTACTCATAAATTTTTCAAAATTTTAATATGTAGCAAAGATAATCATCTTTATGAAATTTAAATGTGCAAACATTTTATGTAACAGAAGCCATTGAAAATCTTAGCTACATTGTCAATGTCTACAATTTGAGGATTTTGACACTTGAATATGGTTAGATTATATATTAAGATCTATCATGATTGACCCTATACCTATTTATTGCCATCTTGCTGCTTTCTATAATAAAAGAAATATAGTAAAAAGATAAATAAAAAACTAATATACTCACTTGACAGAAAGTGAAAAATCACCAGGGCTGGACTCACTGATTCTTATCAAAAAACCACCCTCTGGTTTATTTGCTAACAATTTCTCAGCATCTGCTCTTGTAATTTTTCCAAAATACCAACTGTTAAAAAATATATATATAACATTACAATATGCATTGATATAAAAACAAGTTATTATAAAAATCATTATTTATTAAATTTCATTATCTATAATTTCATTTCCAATACTAAAATCTGTTTTAACGAAATTATGATTTCTGATAAGTTCATTCACATTCTTAAAAGAAATTTGTATGAACTTAACATCCTAACCTTTCCAGTTTGAATATTTAGCGAGCGAAATTATTTATTTTGGAGTAACACTATAACATAATTACATGAGAACTTACTTGTGACTCTTCATTTGAATATAATTACTAGGTATGAGCCCTTCTTTACCGTCTAATTCAGCTCTGTACCAATTCATATCGTCCTCCATATTTAGTATCTGCAATATCAAAATTTCTAGAAAGATACCGTCAAAACAAAACATTTACTAAATAAAAGGCTAAATAAGAATGATAAAACTTACCTTGAGAACCTGATTCTTTCTAAAACTAAGTTCATCATCAGCAGTTGCTGTGAAATCGTGTTTGGCTATAGCCTCCATGTTCAAATTAGGCACTTCACTAAAATGTCACCGAATACTAAAATAACCCGCAAAGTATACCACCTATCTTATAGCTAGGGCATTAAAAGAATCATAATGCATGTATTGTCTGATATAATCACATAAAAATAAGTGTGCCCCTTGCGTTACTTCAAAATAATTTTGTACAATTTCGTAGCACACTTGAGTAACATCACCACTTCAAAGAAATACTACTACTGCTACATGATTACTACCAAAAAAAGTACTCAGTATTACCATATTTCGAAAATCATTTTAACTAAACTTCTGATTGTTTTTTTAGTGGCCAATTCCATTTTTTTCGTTTGGGAATTCTATTCCAAAAATTAAAGATGGTCATTGACTGTCTATCTACCGCAATCGTTTTCAGAGTTATAGTGATTATGAAAGCGAATTATGGGATTGTGTATCATTTTTTTTTGCGTCATTTGCAATGGTTTCCGGAACAAATGATGATTTGAATGATCATGAAATATTATGATAACTTACATAAACAAATATTTACGTCAAATTAATGATATCGTTTATTCGATATCTTCCAAAAACGGTACGATCGCAATCGCTATCACATGTCAAATAGTTGTAGCGTGAAGTTCATGCGTGATATTTTAAAGCGTAATAGCTACAAAAAAATATTTATTTTAGTTTCATCATAAAATTATTTATAATTACTGCCAGTAATATTGACACCAACCGAATTTACAAACAGCAGCTTGGATAGCCTACTTCCGTGAAGCCTGTAATTACTTTATGTGATTGCGGTTCCTGCTTTAAAAAAAAAGCGTTCAGCTGGCACTTTCGTGGCCACAGCAGGGAAAAGTATCACAACCATTTTAGTGGCCATGAGATATGATATTAAGCACAAACAATAATAATAAACTACTACAAACTTCAAAGGTCAAATAATTAACGAAAGCGGTGGAAATTGTTTTTGGTCTTTCACAAATGGATATTTTACTTTGTTTGAAATAATACTTGTAAAGAGATACGTTTTCTTGACTTAAAATTAAATATTTTTTTTTATATCGCCGAAAACGATGTCTGTGACATTCATTTCGTCATTCTTATATGTATACTGTACACAAAACAGATGTATAGAGTAGAAGATGAAAATATGTGAAGAATTTGATTTCTAATTAATCAATAGGCTCATTGTTGTAACTAATCTGTCAGCTGTCGCCATAATAACGTCATACAATGGTGGGTCGTGTTTCAAGTCACGTGACACACCATACAGACAAAAACCACGACTTTTTATTTTATTTTAGTTTATTACGATGTAAATTTTAGTTTTGCAACATGTCATTCGTAAAGATCAGCCGTTGGATGTTAAAATTAAGAGAACTGATAGTAAGTATATAAAAACTCACTCTTTAAAATTCATTCGATATTAAGTTTTGATATGATGATACATATTTTTCTATTTCGAAAAGATGTCTTTTAAAGATACATCTTGATATTTTTATCGCAGACATATCGATATGTGTGTTTATCCGATATGTTGCATCTCTATTCGTAGTGCGTTGTCAGCTGACAATTTTGACATTTCTTTTAGGTCCATTTGCCTCCCAGTGGCGTTATACGCGTAAGTAAATGATTCAAATATCTTAAAATATCTAAGGAATCATTTGCAATAATAAAATTTTTGGCAATGATTTAAGCCTTGGAACCTTTGCTCGTAATATTTTACTGCATATTTAACTTTTTGACTTCTTAAAGTCTAAAGTGACCGGTTGTTGGTGATTCCAGGTTTAGTCGTAACTCTAATAAACGCAACGATGTCGGGAGGATTAGACGTACTAGCCCTCAACGAGGAAGATGTCACGAAGATGTTAGCAGCCACAACCCATCTCGGGTCGGAAAATGTCAACTTTCAGGTGATGTTCATTTACTAACCTCAAAGCACTCGTGTTTGTTTCTTTTTATGATGAGATAAGAATCCGTTCCATATTTGGTCCGATACTAATGACGATTATATTCTCCCAACTGAGTTATTCTTAAAGATGTATTAACATTTACAATTGAATACATTTCACTAATGGAATTTTATGTTTTAGATGGAAACATATGTTTATAAGCGCCGTGCGGACGGTACACATGTCATCAATCTTCGCCGAACATGGGAGAAATTAGTGCTCGCCGCTCGTGCTGTGGTGGCTATTGAAAATCCAGCAGACGTATTCGTTATCTCGTCTCGTTCTTTTGGACAGCGAGCTGTTCTCAAGTTCGCAGCACACACAGGCGCAACGCCAATTGCAGGACGTTTCACTCCTGGTGCATTTACTAATCAGGTTAAAAACTGCTAATTATTGTCTATACTAAAAACATATTTATATTAATTCCTTCTTTTTTTTCTTAAAAAAATAATTCTGTTTTGTGAACTATTTGTAATGTTGCAACAATTATGTGCTGTAATGTTAAAATTATTATTTAGAATTGTAAAATGATGACAAACATAACTAAGGAACCACTGACTGCTTTATGCAGATATGATTAAAAAAAAATCTGATTATATCTGTGTCATAAAAATTACTAATTGAAAGATAATATAAAATTATAAGGGTTTGAAAATATTTTTTACTTAAAATTTTAGATCCAAGCTGCATTCCGTGAGCCACGTCTGCTGATCGTACTCGATCCTGCTCAGGATCACCAGCCTATTACTGAAGCTTCATATGTCAACATTCCAGTCATTGCTTTTTGCAATACTGACTCACCACTTCGCTTTGTTGACATCGCTATCCCATGCAACACCAAGGTATGAAGTTAAACTATAAATTTGATCAATTAAATTTTGGTTTAAGATTAAAAAACAATGATATAAATCAAGAAGAACAGAATATTCCTGGTTTTTCAGCTATTAGAGTAAGAATTTAAGTATGTTATTCTTAGAGTAACTTGTATCCTAATCCTAAATTATATTCTCGATTATTATAATATAAATGTTAGCTCTACCTTATACACACAAGAGGTGGTTGCAAGAAAGCTTACCAGGAAATAATATGTTAAAAGGTGTTAAATCTATATACATGTATATTAATATTATCTTTATCCTGGAGGGCAGATATGGGTAGGCAGAGACCACAAAAATATCCAATACCTATTTACTTACCAATGTGAAAGCACTACCTATAGTTATGCAGTATAGTCACACAACAACCTGTATGGAAAATTTCCATTTTGGTTCAACTACACACCTTACTTGGAAATATGAATTGTGTAGTGTATGTGCCAAAGAAGTCTTATTCTACAATTCCTTGTGTTATAGTCATCTCACTCCATTGGTCTCATGTGGTGGCTTCTGGCCCGTGAGGTACTACGTTTGCGTGGTGTTCTTGCGCGCGATCAGCGATGGGATGTGGTTGTAGATCTATTCTTCTATCGTGACCCTGAAGAGAGTGAAAAGGAGGAACAACAAGCTAAGGAACAGGTAAGAAAAATGAAATTTATACTGAAGAATCAATATTTATCACTCATATATATGGCGTGAAGATATACATAGATAGATTTATAGTTATTTTTAGTTTATAACATGTGTCATGAGATTACAAACTTATATTGTTATCATAAATAGTTTTTAAAGCTATTATATTTTAACAATGACTTATCACAATAGCTTTTGATGGAATGATGTGCCTTGGGTAGTTGAATTGTTTTCATTGCTTGCTTTTGTTTTTTTTGATTTTATTACTTTAACTAAAGATGCAAATGCGAATTTCTATGGATATAAAATAAGCTAATTCTAAGAATGACCAATCAGGAAGGATTTACAATTTTACCAATTATATTGGACAGACTGCAGTATCTGGCTTCTTGGACCTTCATTCAAACTGATTAGCACAAAAAAGTTTGCGACAAAGCGCTATTACCTATTAAGTAGTTCATTATCCTTGTTTGAATAAATAAATTTAAAGATTTGAATATAAATATGCTTACTACTAGGCTCATGTTAATGAATTTTTGGGTCCATTTTTAATAAAAAGCAGATGATTTCTACTTTTTCTTATTTATTGTGCAACAGCAAAGAACAATAAAAGTGACTATAAAATTTAGATTTCTTTTATAGGTGTTTTGTTATCTTAACATATATGCATATTATATTTTTTGTCAGGCTGTAGTGGCAGCTAAGCCCGAGGTGACAGTGCCAGTGCACGAAGACTGGAACGAGACCGTCGAACCGGTCGCGTCTTGGGCTGAAGACGGCGCCCCTGCTGCTCCCGCACCAGCGTTTGGAGCTCCACCAGCACAGGAGGACTGGGCTGCTCAGGTAACTAGAGACTAAATTATATCCCATCATATAAAGATGATTTCGGCGACATTTGATATTTAGTGATGATGTTACAGAGGATATAGATATAGATCTATAGCCTCTGTAGCATCATCGCCTATCAATATATAATATATAATAATATCACTATGTATAAAAAAACAAAATTTGAGAAGATGAGAAGAAAGCATGCAATGTTTTCTCAGTTACAATGTTGAAATGTTAGTGAGACTGTAACAGTTTATAGTGTATCAAGTGATAATAAAGAACATTTACTAGGCAAAGGAGAATACCAGTAACCAAAATAATCTTTTATCTGAACAATTTTGTGACCATATCTGGAATTATTATAACTCTAACATCCGTATTTTAAATTTCATATCCATAACATCCCTAACCTGCACACCAGGCCTATTCGCTAACTCAACTGACAGCTTAGTTGTAAAATTACGCCAGTTTTATGGTGATTTCACTGAAAAAATTAATAACTCCAATTAATCAAAATCACTTGTTTGTATGACTGCTTGCCCATAGAGCTTTGTTGAACAATAGGGTAGAACCTTTGTGTAGTACTGAACTGTCCTATTTCCTACTTAATACATTGATAATGATGATTTTGGATTTAATCTACTGAATTTTACGAAACAGAAAGGTCTGTCAAAAGAATTTTCATATCTTAGCTTAAACATGGTTTTTACTATGAAATCCATTACTAAACGGCCTAGTATCTATGCTAAATAGACCTAGTTTAGCTGGGCGTGTATTGCAGATATTGCAATATTTGTATGGATGTTACATTTGTTATTTTTTATTATGTAAAGGTACATGACGAATGGGGGACTGCTGCTGCTGCTGCTGCTGCTACTGCGACAGGCGCCCCCGCGGCTGCACCCCCAGCTCCGACCCCATCGTGGGGAGGCTCTACTGACTGGAGCGCTTCGTAAACTTTGCGTTATAATCTGTTAATAAACAATATAAAAATCTATTTTGAGCATTTTATTTCAAAGTAGCTTTTCATCAGCGGCTTCGCCTGCGTGGTTTTCCCGTTTTTACAACATTTTTAGTTGCTACTCCACTCCTATTTTTCATTGCGAGGTGTAACACCACGCTATATAAATAGCCTTCCCCGATAAATAGCCTATTCAACACAAAAATAAGAACCTGAGATTAGCCCGTCCAACCAACCAAAAAAAATTGCGTTATGATCTTATACATAGGTTATATCATATATTCTTTCCGAATAACCACAATAATTAATCTGACTTGAAAACTATCTCTACGAGTCACAATATGAGTTTAGTCAGAAGTGCGGCTTATCTTATTTCGTGTATTTTACAATACCGACTTAGAGAAATTTATTGGCTCTGAACCATAGCGAGGCTCCCAATTACGCGGGGTCCGTAGTTTTTGCTACGTGGCTAATTCGGCTTAGGCACAAAGTACTTAGTCTAGCCATAAATTCTGTTACGGGCTGTTTACATACATTTAAAAAAAAAAACATGAATTTCGATCATTAGCTTCTACGATAAAAAATAGACTTCTTTCCCACCATTATTATGTTTTTTGTTTAGAAAGTATTTGTTTTGAAAATGAGGTGGGGCACTAAAGAAAATAGGATTGCATTTGAAATGTAGTTAAGGCCAGAAATCGTCGAAATTCCGTAGGAAGCAGAAAATTCATTTCCAGAAAAATGAGAATCCCACCGAGGACACTTTCTCATATTATCAAACAAGACAGGTCTAGGGGCTTACCGGAGATACACAAGATATACCTTAAATCAGGGCCTTAAAACCAAAGAAAGTCGAAAGATCAAAACAGCTGTTACTTCGATACGCGAACGAAAAACAGAAAAATTATCTTTATCGATGAAAAACTTTTTACAATCGAGGAGCACTACAACAAACAAAATGAGCGACTGTATGCACACAGCTCTTCCGAGGCAGTGGCCATGTTCAGCGGGGCCATCATCCAGCATACCTCATGGTTTGGTCGGGTGTCTTATAAAACTCCGTTTTTGTGAAAAAGGGGTAAAAACTTCAGCCAAAGAGTATCAAGATACTGTGTTAGAAACGGTAGTTAAACCTCTCAACAACACCTTATTAAAAAACGAAGTGTGGGTATTCCAACAGGATTCAACCCCGGGTCATAAGACGCACTACCCTGTTTGGCTTGAGAAAAACGTTCCAGACTTTATAAAGGCTGATGATTGGCCTTGAAAAATGACTTAAACCCTTTGGACTATAAATTGTGGTCTGTGCTAGAGGTCATGGCCTGCTCTAAGCGTCACCCAAATATCGAGTCGCTCAAGAAATCTTTGGAGGCAGCAGTGACCAAGTTTCTAATGGAAACTGTAAATCCATCTACAAATGACCCGACCGTTTAAAAGCGTGCGTTAAAACTAAATATCTAGTTTAATATTTAGTACGTTAACATATCTTTTTCAATCTACATAATTATATATATAACTTTATAATGAAATATCTTTTTTAGTAGTCATCGGATATTTTCTTTGTAGCAGAACTTGAGGCTAGACTAGGTATTTTACCGCTCTGTCTACTCCAATCGAATATTTTAGTCTGATAATTTTTTTTTATATTTTTTAATCCAGAATCTGAATAAAGGTTGAATTCTATCAGCAGATAGCTAATTTTTCTGTGGTAATTTCTTGGTTATGGTAAAATCATAGCAAACACCGATGAACTGGTGTTTTTATGAAACTTTAAAAAACTACCACTAATATCAATGAAATTGTCATACATAATTACATTCTAAATTAAACACAAAAGCAAACGAGAAATTATAGATAATTTATTTTCCATAGAAATGAACCCTATAAAGACAGGTGTATTTCGTGTTGCCTTGATTCGACAAAATGCGAAAGATAATTTTCTTCAAAGGCAGGCTCCAGTTGAATCTGTAGTATTGTTTAGCTGGGCCTTTTCCATTATATTCGCCTTCTGCAACATTAACCCAAGTACCGTTTTCCAAGATGCCCTAAAAATAAAAAGGTAAATAAAGTGTGTGTAGGTATAGGTAATGTTCGTCCCTTCTTTTCAAAAATTTAGTTTGCTGTTTGCAGTTATGTGGCTACAAAGAGTCGCCACCTCTGGACCATCTACATAGGTTTGATTATCAATTGGGGCTGTCTAAAAAATGAGGTTACTTATATTGCATCTGGTTTATGCGATTGTCTAGCAACATTTTCTAAATTTTTGTTCAGATTAGTATAACAGCATAGGGTACACGATTTAATTTAGTTAGATGAATTGTTAATAATACAAATAACGAGTAGGTAATAATTTACTAACGTAAAATGTGAAATTCTTAGGTGCACTCCTTGCACTGTCCGGTCGTATATGCTCCAAACTAATTGCTTTAATTTGCACATTCCTTGTTAGTTCTATTAAAATTTCACCATATGAGCCGCTGTAAACCAAAAAAAGTTCTTTTATGTATTTCTATAATTTAAATACCAAAAAACTTATAAGGAATAAAAAAATAATTGATCAAATTAATAAATAAACGAAGGTACATTGAATAAAGAAAAATACCTACCAACCAAAGTAAGCAATGAATCTACTATGTCAGTTTTTTTTATATGAGTGGCTCGGCGCTATTTATAAATAAAAGAAAAAGTCTGTTGATAGATCGGCATTTATTTTTAATATTAGTAATGTAAAAAAAATGAGGCTCTGATCAAGGGAATGAAGGGTGGCCTGGACACAATGTTGCCACATAAACAGATATCTCCGTATTTATACAGATTTTCGGTGTGTAATACAGATTAGCACTGGTTACAGAGTTTTGCCTGACAAGACGAATTGCCTAAATATTTATGAAGTTGAAAGTATTCCAAATGAATTGAAATCATTAACGGCTGGATTGTTTAAAAGAAAATTATTTGCCTGGCTCAATTGTAATATTTTTTATAGTATTAGCAAATTTTTTAACAAACGGTATTAGAAAATATACATTTTGTTTTGACATTGTAATTTTTTTTACTATGGTATGTAATACTGATGCATTTCAACATAATAAGAATTTTATAATTTGTTTATTATGATTTTGATATTATTGCTGCATTAGATTCCATTAAACTGTTTTTGCATGCTATTTGAAAATAGCGAAATGTAGGATAGGATATTGTACAACTTTAACACGTTTATAAAATGTTTAAGGCAAATAAACAATTATTTTTATTATATTTTAACTGAACGTTCGGAAACTCAACTCGTATAACCACTATAAAAAGGATAACATTTTTTTTTCTTCGTACACTGATCATCACAGTAACAAATAAAGTGTTGATACTTTTTTATTAATTGTTATTGAAAGTACAACGTTACCGTTCGAATAAGTTTCAGCGCAAATGGATTTTTTTACAAATAAAAATCTTCATATTGTTTTTAAATATTTTTTTCATTTATGACTATTTATGAACTTATTATACTTTGGATTCGGTTTATTTCAGTTATAGAATATCTGATAATAAAATAGATTATAGCGAGTCGACTTCTTAAGACCAAATGAATTAGTGACCCACTTTTTTATATGAAAGAAATAAAGGTTTGGAGAAATTGATAACGTTTAGGTATAATTAACATTCTAATATATTTACCTACACATTAAATTAAATCAGATCAAAATCATTTTTCCAGTCTAGTCTGTTACAAAGCGCTTGTGAAAGTCGAAACTTAAAAACTACAAAGACGGTAAATATAAAATTTCAAAGCTTTGTAAAAGTAAGAGATTTTGTTTGAATTCTGACTAGGAAGTTCTGGTTACCCGTTCAATAGACCTACTTTGTTAATATTAAGATTTTTTAAAGTCGGTTATAGTTTGTTAAAAAACACATTAAAACTTTCAGTACCAAACGGGTTGTAAACATAGAAAATTTTCATATTTCCCAAGAAACCACGAATACTTGAACCAAAAGCAATAAACTATATGCAAAAAAAGAGCAAGTCAATTCTGATGCGATTATTACCTACGTAAACATTAGTTTAAGGAATAATCTCAACTACCTACCTACTTGAATTGTGCCATTTTTCTATCAATCTGAAGTTTAATAGTATATAATATATTATAATTGTCACCATGAATGTGAGAGGAAGACATTGCACTAATAATATTGGACTATAGGTAGATAGTATGTATAATGGTAAAATGCAATGAGGAAGTATTTAAAAAAAAACATTAGTTCCCGAAATCAAACTAGATGTCGTTACGGTACGTTCTTAATTTCCCCATGATAACCTTTCCGGTTTTCTTTTAAGTTCAAAAGTAAATTTGTTTTCAAACCTCAATAAACAACGAAATATCAATACAAATACGAAAAACAAATACGAAAATGTACACATAGAATATGAATTCTATGTGTACATTTTCGTATTTGTATTGATATCTAAGTTTCAAACTTTTCAAATTTCAGTTTTTTAATATGTTAGTTAAAAGGAACGGAAATGACTGTCTTTGGTCCATTCGTTTCCCGTAAAAATCTACTTTTGCTAGAGTTGTCATCTAGTGGAGGTGCTTTTATAGTACTTTCGTTTTTTTTTAATACTTTTTCATTATTACGGAAATATTACTAGAATTGACCATGTAGATATGTGACACAAATGTAATACATTTTAGTATGTCTATATATAAAATACATATATGTATAATATAAATGAAAGATATGAATAAGGATAGAATAAGAAATATTTTCCCTACGTACACACCCAAATTAAAAATGGTTGTTGTTTTTTAACTGGGCACACATCGACTGCAGTATTATTTAGACACTATTTTATAGTATTTTACTCATCTTCATAGGATGAGAGTAGATTATGATTATATGCAATCAGTCAGTTGTAGATAATAGAGTGATCTCCAAATACGCAGAAAAACTGATTACCTACGAATTTAATTTTTAATAGATTAGGAGTACGAGTAGAATACTCAGCGCCGGCTCATTGAAATTGGGCGCCCTTGGCAAAACACTGGAACGACGCCCATAAAAAATTACCACAAAATAAAAGTATAATAAAGTACGTCGATCCAAGAGTGTAATTTTGGCAACGACAAAAGAAACTCCTTGGTCAGTACCCATATATAGAGCGACTATAGTTTATTTTTGAATACCGCGGATGTGGATTCATAGTCAAAGAGCTAAAAATATATTTTTAAAAGTACCAAATGAGTTCAAATAATTCGAGTAAAACAAATTGTCAAAAGACCCACAAATAAGCCCTAGACTGTTGCCCAGTTTGCCAATAAAGACGGAACGGCCCTAAGATCTAAAAATCAGAAGAAATTATATTCAAACACTAGCTGTTTTCCTGCGAATTCGCACACGTAAATTATAGCCTATGTCAACCCCGTATGAAGCTGAAAGAATTTTTAAAATCGGTCCAGTAGTTTCGAAGCCTATTCTATGCAATCAAACAAACAATCAAATCTTTCCTCTTTATAATATTAGATATAGACAACTTCAGTCGTCAAGTTTTCAAAAATTACATTAACTCGTAATTACGGCGTCAGTGGATAAATATGATTTAACAAAAAGGTTTCTGAAAAATGAGAATATTTTAAACACGGCATTTTCACATTAAAATCTGAAATGAAACCATTAATAAACTCTCATAACATTCATATGGATACGTCATTAATTGGACGCCTTTTTTTAATTTATGAATCATTAATTTTCCATCTGACGCCCGCAATACAGATTCGGAGCTATAAAGCATTGAATAAACCTTTGCAAATATATAAATCAACAAAATATCACGGCATACTCGTTCAAACGAGGACGCCGGCTTTGCTTAAGCGAATAACCTACTTATCGATCTTCACTACCGCTGAATAATAAATAAATAATATCGCTGAATAAAGACAATTCATATTTCATAATTACTCCATTTATATTTCTTCTGAGAACAAAACAATTTTGTTGTGAATACTTGATGATAGGTAATTTCATGTTCCTTGTATAATGTTTAACCTTCTAGTGAAATTATTAGAATTCATGTTATATTATTCCAGCTAAGAGGAAGAAAAGAGGAGGTTTTCCATTTGCCTTTGTGTTTTTGTGTGTTAATTCATAATCTTTTACTGGGCTTACCGATTTCGATGATTGTGCTAGTCATAGTACAGTACAGTTTTTAAAAAATTAAATAACTCGAAAAAATATATAAACAAACTAATTCTTATATTTTATAAATTTTGCATTCATAATGCTATAGGTACTGGAGAATATTCAGCACTATTGAAAGTCGAAACTCTATCGGCCGGTTTCTGAATTGAGAAAAGTACAAAATGTCAACTGATTATTTTCAATAACTTGAGTTCTTTTACTTTTCACGGGTGAAAAGTCCTAGTTATCAAACTGCTATCAATTTGATCATTTAAAATACTAAAATCAGAAACGAAAACATGTTGAGGTGACGTTTAAGTGTAGTGTGAGACATGCCTAACTTTAAATACTCAATTTATGTGTATACCATCGGTTCGTAAATCTACGGCGGGAGATCTTGTACCGAGCTTAAATGCTGGAGGATTTCTTAAGTATTTTTGATTAATAATACGTTTATATTATACTTAGTTACATATTTTGACATTGATAATTTTCATGAGTGATTTAACTGGTAGTGTATGGTCTCAGGTATTAAGTTCGCCTATGGACATTTTTGAGAATGAAAAGTTAAATAAATAATAAAATATCAAATTAAAAGTTATTTTTTATAGAACACAAAATCAACTATTTTTATATAGGTAATTAAGACGGGACATGATAAATTTAACAATAGGTTCTAATATTTATCAGCCTATGGCTTTTTGGATTTTATTTTTCAGCGGTCTATAATCGAATCTACCTAAGTATTCTATATTGCACGTGTGAAATGACTAAGAATAAGTGATGAAATGTATGAAAACTACTGGTACTACTTTTGTCTTAAATAGTACCAGTAGTTTTCATATATTTCATCACTCATTCAACACATTCTAAAGTACCTAAGTAATTTCTAAAATTTTTAGAATTAAATTCTTAATTCTAGTTGTAAGTCAATAAGGTCCAAGGTGTCAAAAATGTTTTTTTGAAATTACAAGCGAACGATTATCTGATAAATAATGAAAAAAGAAGAAATGTACTGTTTTCGTGTGTCCTTTGTGTAATATGTGTCTTTTGAGATATCACAATTACCGAGTGAATTCAAAATTGTAACCTAATTTTAAGGCTAACTGTGTGGATATGTAATTGGTTATCTGATGTATGTAACGATATTGTAAGTTCATTTATGCAACTAATGTAGATCTACCATGAAAAATAAAATAAATAATTATTTTTATTATGAAATATTAGTTACTATTTCGAATTTGCATTCACAATGCTATTCGATTCCATCCAAATGGCTTGTGCCCCAGTAGTGGGGATATTAAGGCTGGTATGACAATGGCTATGAATTTGAATCTTCAAATACTTACCTAAATGGCCAGCAGTCTGAAGGTGTGGGTTTTCTTAGAGTTAAGACGGTGTCAGGTGGCGGTGCAGCTCTCCATAGAGGTATAACACCCCACAAGGCGAGCTGGCCTCCGTATTCCTCGGTACCACTACCTCTAGTTACAGAAGCCCCTTCTATATATGTTTTATCCATATCTGAGTAATCTGGAACTCAGATCAGAGATAATTTCAATTACTTAAATTGTTACACCCATATCCATAGTTGAGTAAAAGTAATTACTTAAGTAAATATTTTTAAAGAAGTATTTGAATGAAGTAAGAATTATTAGCTATTAATAGTTCTTATTTCAATCAAATTCTGGTCTAATGGTTAAAAATATCTGCTTTAGTTACGCCATCTTATCAAGTAATTAGTTCTCTAGAATAAGGATGGATTAAAGTTAAGGTTTATGTCAGATTGACTTTAACATTGACTTCGGAATGCATTGCTCAATCCGCTTTCTTGGCATAATAAAACCATAACATTCACAAGCGACGATTGGACGGTTTTAGTTAACAGTTATGAAGTCTTCTAACCATTGCCAAATAGATTTATGTGCAAAAGTTCCCGGTCTCTGATTGAGTGGAATTTTTGCCTGTGTTTTTGCTAATTGAATAATGAAGCTAATTGAATAATAGAGTTGATAGTCATAGGATCTCTGTATTTAAATAAAGCAAAGCCATCGCTTTGAATTTGACTCGTTTGATGTCTTGATAAGGACGAGGAAAGGAGGAAGAAGAAAGGAGGAAGTCAGAGTAAATATCCAGGGTCTGATAATCACGGCAGTTGATTCTTTTTTCAAGTGCCTAGTTTTCTAAGTTAAAATATTAAGTATTGTAGATGCGAAACTCAGTAAAAGAATAGGTAAATTAATTTTTAATGTTGATATTCACCTGTTCTCGTTTTTTGTGAGGTACTAGTTAAAGTTCTTCGTAATCGTTCTGAATGTCTGAAATTTAATTTTAATTGAGTCATATTATTTTCTTTAGTCGAATTTGGTATACATTTCATATCATAATCGTAAAATTCGTGTACCAAAAGATAGCTTTGCATCACCACGTTTTAATATGTAAATTATGTAATATGTAAATAAATAAAAACAACTTTTAATGTGTTTCATTTTTAATAGGAACTTTCAAAGGGGGAATTGGTCTAGAACACGTAGTATGACTCGAGAAATGCTTTGTCTACACTGAATGTCGTTTTACTCGGGTTGAGAGTGAGATATCGTTTGGGCGTATCTATGATAAGTGATGTAGATATAGATAAAACGCTCCAGAATACGTCATGATATCCATGCTGGAAGAGTAAAAATGCTATGTATGCATGCAATGTATGACCTCATGTCAGGGGGAAGGTCTCAATCACCATGAATAACTCCATAATGGCTTATCAAAACTTTCACTAAAACCTTAACAAAAAAGGATACCGCAGGAATTAGGCTATTAGGCTTGTGTCCTACAAGTGAAAATACAGATTTCTGTAATACGAAAATATGAATCATTTTGACTTATAAATATTTAACATAATATTTTAAAACTTGAAAAAGTAGGGAAAATATATTACCAACATTTGCTAAAATAGCACATTTTTAGTTACATAAAACGTAACAACTTTCATTATGACAATTATAAACACAAACGCACAAATAACAATGATATTACAAAGATTGCCTAAACGCCCATACGTTTTTCGTTACCGTAGCACTATGTGACGTCACAGTCACAGATTGGCTTGAATTTTTAGGGAGCGTTTTCGGCCGACTAGCAGCAGTTCCACAAACATAGCACCGTACTCCGAAACTATTAATCGCAGACATGCTGTTACTTCTTCATTATTTCTCAGATATTAATGGACCATTTATAAACTAAAAATTTGTCAACTAGCTTAATCGCATTTGAAGTAGGTCCGTGGTGTTGGAGACCCACACAACCTCGTTGCTTGCTTAAGATGGTAATGATCCTCGGTGTGACAGAAAAAGGTTTGCTTACTGTGCCACAGATCTTTAGTATTAGAATTAAATATTAGAAGCTACAAGAAACGAGCGAAACTTCACGTGAATAATGACCCAGGCAACAGCTACTCCTAATAAGTGGTAAGTTCTGCTGTGTTTACTAAACTGCACACTGCGAAACTTAATACAATTACAGTACCTTAGTGCTTGTTCCACTCTAGACAGCTCGGCAGCTAAATACTGCATTTTGTGGCAGCACCCTTCACCGAGAGAAGTTGTTTGTATCGTACCTATTGAGTTGAAGCAAACACTTTGATGTAAACCTCAGTACGATACCTACAGTTGTTAATGTAAAACGTTTTTTACTTATGTAAAGTTTCATAGAAATAAATGTACAATTTTAACGGATTAATGAAATTGTTTAACGACTGTTTTTCTGCGAATTCAGTGTCGCTTTCCGCAGGTAAAAGTATTTTTGCAAATCAGTCCAGTAGTTTCAGAACCTGTTTAATCCAAACAATCAAAACTCTCTAAAATAAGTATTAATATAGAGTAATATCTTGGTGTTGTGTTTAGTAATGTACCTAAGTTATTAATTAAAAATTAATTAAGTTATAAAATAAGAGAACAAATGTAAATTAATGGTTTAAGTCCATTTGGCACTTACATAAGGAAGTCAATTTTTCTTTAGGAATAACACTGGCAAGCAAACTTATTTGTGGTAAGCTTTTCATCCAAATTGATGCTGAAACGAGATCCAATTTATTTTAAAATCAACAACCAAGCCAAAGTAATTATAAATAATGTTCACATCGTAACCTCGAAAATGATAGTCTTTATATTTTTTTTTATCAGGAGCTTTATTGGAGGATTGTGTTTTCGTGTCACGATCACGAACCTTAAGTAACTTTTGTGAAGGTCGTTCAGGTAATGGGTGGGTTTGTTACTTAGAACGGATGTCTTAATCTTTTACTCTATTAATTGTAAAGGCGCATTTTACATAGTTAACAGAAACATGATGATGATAAAATAAAAATAACAGCTTGAATTGTTTTGTAACGGTGAGTGGTTCATCTTGTTCCTAAGTTAAATTTCTTATGTTTTTGATCTATTAAAATTAAATTTTCTTAATAGTATGTAATCGACAGCAATAACAATGGACTGTAGATAATTTAATAATAAGATAATTGTAGCAAACAAAATTATTTCTGAATAACGAATAAAAGCACAATATACAAGACAAACAGCAAAAACCTAAACATTAACAATAGTCAAGAATTGAAAAAATATGAATTAAAAATAAGTATAAAAGCCTCCTTAAAGAGGCCAGTAATATTATGTCAAAGACATGGTAAGGCTGTCGGCAACAAGTAAATTGGACAAAATAGGACTATTCTAAATAGAATAGTCCTAGTCCAGTATTTCTATTTTATATAAAGCGTTTATTTGGCATGAAATAAAATAGAATATAAACAATAAATAACATTTGCTATGACACTGATTTTCAGCAATGCCCTTGAGATTTGAGGCATAGCTGGACACTGATACATATACACAAACATTATTTAACAATACTCATTACAATTATTAAATTACAATTAAACATAACATTTTTGCAGGCATAAAAAGAAAATTTCACACGAATATCACTCACTTTTTATATGTAAGAAAAGGTTAGAAATGTTATGTATTTTATACATAAATTAATGTACTCGTAGTTACGGTTTTTTTTGTTATAATCATACAAAAATTACCATTCAAGCTTACTCCTGTACTTAAATTCGAACCCACGAATACCCTACCATAGTAGTATCTCAGGTTTAAGGCATTCAATGCCAGCGAAGGTTCTAGAAAGTGAGGTGTGAGACACCAGGAAACTTTCTGGTTTTTTGATACCTAAATTATTAATCAAATACCTTTACAGTTGAAAATATATAAATGAAATAAGTTTAATCTCTTGCGAATTTAAGTTTAGTCCACTTTGAAGATTCAATAAAATTCAATAAAAAAAAAAAATAACAAAGCTATTTTGACAAGTTACAGTTCACATTTCATTAAAATATGTCATGATTATTATAAACTAGATGTTGTACCGCGACTTCGCCAGTGGAAATTTAAGCCAATGTTAACCACGTATGATGTAGCTTCCCGTATGTGAAAGCGCTAGCGCCAGAGTATGCTAGTGAACCAACCAAGTTACCCCATACAAAAAGTAGGGAGCCAATTCTACTAAATACATTATAGTTCTATTTAAGCTGGAATTGTATCGTATGTCACTTTGTAGAATAGAAAAAAACATTAAAAACTTAGTTTTTTTCGGTTTCGATCCGTTTTCGATTCGATTTAAACAAAATTTATTTAGTAGAATTGGCCCCCAGATCGGTTACCAGTAAAATTTTACCTCCTTATAATATTATAGTATAGCTAAGATATAGCTTATAGAAATAAAAATAAAGTTTACTAACCGATTATTCCGATGGTCATAATGATTAATAAGAAATACACAGCAATATTCGATTTCTTCTTTCTATTAGCTTTTTGTCTACGATTACACTTCATTATTTGTGGTTTCCTCGTGTTGACGTCATTCAGATACTCCCATATGTTCTCTCGGATGGGGTAAGAGGATCGTATTTCCCACTTCTGTATTTTCCGAGGTTTCCTCTTTTCGTTAACTCTTCCTGTTAACAAGGTTATATGATTTGTTATCAAAATTAATCTATACTAATATTATAAAGACGAAAGATTTGATTGTTTGTATCGAACAGGTTCTGAAACTATTGGACCGATTTAAAAAAAAATACATCTACTACCGCTTGTATAGGATATAATCTACGCAGGAGAAATCTCGAAAACAGCAAGAGTTTGATTAATTTTGCATTCACAATGCTATATTAATATTTATTTTAACTAAAGATACGTACTAAAAATACTACTATCACGTATGCCCATATTCTAACACGTAACGTTTCACTAAGGAAGAGAAACCTGATAGAAGAGCGGTTAACTCATTTGGTGTGCGATGCAGAGGTCAAGACATCGATCATTGTATGGGTGACCAAAAATTTATTATCTCGAGCTTAAAATTATTGACATAGCTACTTCGGAAGGTTGATCCCTGCTGTATCTCCAGTCGTAAACATCCAGCAAAACAAACGCATTAGGTGCACGTAATTAACCGCGTGGTGTATAATTTCCC